TGATTATTACCAATAAATATAAAAACTATTACCATGTGAATTTTTCTATCGAATGATTCTTTATACCAAGAAAGATTTATTCTCATGACTGAAATAAGCATGTTGAATTAGAAAATCCACCCTTAAGCGCGCTCAGGGGGTGGAATCATCCCCAAAAATAGAGAATATCATAAATAATTGTAAAAATTAGATAAATATATATTACGATAATTCACATGCTAATAGTTTTTATATCAATTGGTAATATTCAAATTTTACATTTTTGGCACTTTTTCAACATCATTTCAGTTTTTTACGACAAGTAATTTACGACCAAAAACATATTTTTATGTATTTTTTTAAATTCTCTGCGAATTGTGAAAAAACGGGCGTAAATCACAGTTTTTTGCGGTCACTCTTTCAGCTCAAAAATAACAAAGTTACGAATTTTTAAAAAATTCAGAATTGTCCGTTTTTTCGGGATTTTGTCCGAATCAACCGATCGAGACGATCGACCTCTCATTTTCTTCGAAATTTAATTTCGTACAACTTTTCCATTTACGGAATTGAGATTGCTCTAGTAGTTTTGGTTTTACAAGCAAAAAACTAAAAAAAACGCGTTTTTTTGCACTAAAATGTTAATGAGACATGGTGGGTGGAAATCAGTCACAATTGCAGAAAGTTATGTTGTTGATAGTTTTAAGTAACAATAACAAATTAATTAATGAGAGTTGCGAGTCGAAAACACATCAGAGGATATCTACAGACTGTCTTTTAAATGATGACGTAGTGGTAAGCTGTTAGTATTTTTGTCGTACAAAAAAAACCTAAATTGGCTGGTCTATCCATGCTAATTCACGTGTAGAAATATAAATAATTTGGGGAATCTTCATCCCAAATTTCCATAACTTTATATTCATCACCGGTTAATAATAAGGTGCTAGATTTTCTGTTCTCTGTGATTTTCTTCGCATATCCTACAGTAGAAAATGGATTGAACTTGAGCATAATCTTCCAAAATCTTCGTTAGTTAACCGGCAGTCAAAGACTCGTTTATTCTATAATTAGTATGAAAAACATTCAATGCAACAACCTGACATTTCACTTGAATCAATGGAAACCACTTCATCATAAATGAGGGACAATTTCAAAACAACTACTTTATTAGGACTATTTAAAACTGTCTCCTACAACAATGACTATTAAATAAGGCCTTTTCCATTTCATTCTACAAGTTCAACCCTAGAAAACCCAAGCTGTAACGCGACATCAGTTTTGAACACGGATAATGGTCAGGGAGCAACTGACATAATGAATCCTCCATCCGGAGGAAATTGTTCATAAATTTCCATCGGGAGTATGTGCTATAAACTGTGAACTATGATACGTTTACTTAATGTATCACAATCGGGCTAAATTTAGCTATTCTCCTTTAATACAGACTAATAGCTGGGCGAAAATAATAGTTTAATCTCCAAAATTACTGAAGCAGATTAAGTTTGTATAAGTAAATTGTGATTTAGTTTCATTTCGTCTGGATTTTGGTTTTATGATCGTGTTCTATTTGTCCGGTTATTGAAACGATATTTTTTCTATGTTCCTTCAAGAGTAATGTAATGTTCTGCTCCTCGAAAGAGCATAAAAAAGTAGTGATAGAATTGGTTAATATTTGTACTAATATCAAAGCAGCAAAATTATATTACATTATTTATTTATTTAGAAATTACAATATCCAACGGGACGAAGTCCCAATTACAGGATAAGGTAAAACAGGAAACCTTAACTAAATTTAATAAGAAAAAGACGAAGAACATTAAATATAAAAAATATAAGTATTACACAAAAAAGAGATTATTTATTTATTTAGAAATTACAATATCCAACGGGACGAAGTCCCAATTACAGGATAAGGTAAAACAGGAAACGTTAACTAAATTTAATAAGAAAAAGACGAAGAACATTAAATATAAAAATATAAGTACTACACAAAATAGACTATCAAAATATAAAAATAAAATCCAGACAAAAGAAATTAAGTAACAGACAAATAAAATACATAAGCTAACTAACATATACAAGATAATGATTACATTTGCTAGACAAACGAAAATGAAAAATATATGAAGTCGATCTTCATACTTTTGATAATTGGAAATCTTTTGATATAAGGGAGATGCTATTAGTAAATTGGTACGTGGTGTGGGTAATTGTAAAGCAGGGTGAAATCTAGAATTAATTCTAGGAACGTGATATAAAATCCTTGAGACTAAAAAGTCTGCATTTAGAGTATTATTTATAATTTTAAAAAGGAATATAATTGAAAACATAATTCGCCTAGGACAGCGACTATTAAAATTAAAAGAAAGCAATAATTCTTGAGGTGTACTACGAGGAGGATAAAATCCATAATAAAATGAATAGTCTTTAAAAATCTCCGTTGTACTTTCTCTAATTGAATATTATAAATATTATAAATGGGACTCCAAACAACTGATGCATATTCAAGTTTGCAACGCACAAATGCTGCATACAATATATTTAGAACCTTTACGTTTTGAAGTCTTTAGAATTAACGTAAAATATATCTTAAATTCTTAGAAGCAGATCTGGTTACTAAACTAATGTGCTCGTCAAACGACAATCTAATATCAAATGTAACACTTTCATCATACAATAAAATGAAATTATACTTTTTGTAATTTAAATTGTGTAATTGGTAGATATAAATGTAGATGTGACTATAAGTGCAGGATGATGATCATCCTCATTCAAAAGAGTATCATCAGTTCTAGAAACAACACAATCATCGAAGTTACTACAAATTAAGTCAAGAATTCTATAATCTTTATTTAAAATTTGATACTTTGACTTAGTGAGAGACCAATGGAGGTTTGACCTATCAGGAATATTAAAATCACCTAAAATTGAATTATTAGAATAAAAAATGTGATAGTGTGATTCAAGGGCATCAAATAAACTATCGTATGTATCACATATTGTTCTAGGAGGGATATATAAAACAAGGACGTGCACAAAAATAAATTTTTACATAAAATATATTGGAATACTNTACTGCTGGTAGCGGAAAATTTTCATGGGCTGCCAAAATAACCTTATCTGTTCTCTGGCCAAACTATAGATTTACTGGTAAGTATTTAATTTTCTTCCTTGGACTCTCTCTTCTTGTTTTATTTTTAATTTTTCGGGAGCTGCGTCTCCACGCTGCGCATTTTGCAAAACCCAAGCCGTAACCAATAAATAATTTCTTTTTTTTTTCCACCTTCCTGATTATTCTGTCCCTAGCTTTGCTTAAGGTCCATGCACAGAAATTTTCAGTCTTTGGATGTCCTTTTCAAACACTTTTTCCCACTACTTATAACTAACACATTTTTAGCAAATGTCCTTTTACTTTTATTTACAATTCTATAAATTATTTACTAAAATATTCTTTACTTTACATGTTTTAGGTCATCTCTGGGTATTCTTACATAGTCACCTTTAGATTTGACATTTGTGACATTTATTATAAAATTTGTATTAAATAAATAAATATAAAATAAATTTGTAAATATATTTTAAATAATAATTTAAATTATTAGAAATGACTAGATTTTGTCATAAAAATAGCAGCGATATATTTAAATAAATTAATCTGATGATAGCCCCTCGAAGACGAAACGTAGGATTGCAAAAATGTTGAAGTCATTGGATAGAGCGAAAAAAGTGGCAATGTAAATATGCAATTTATTTAAAATTCGTTTTTTTCCGTAGAATTAAATGATGTAATCGGTTTTTGATTTTTTTTTAGTTTAAACAAATTATCAACAATAACTGAAAAATTTATTGTTGCAAGTCATTTTTTATATTTTTTGCATTTTTGAGCATATTTTTGAACTGTTATTGCAGATTTTTTTATTTCACCAAATAGTATACCTATGTCAAAACGAAAAAAATGATTACCGGCAGAACTCTGTACGATGATTTTTTAAGTAGAATTTTTCTTTGAAAAAAAGTGTTTCAGGCCGAAAACATGAATATCTCAGAAACTTCTTAATTTTTTTTATCTAAAAAAAATTGAGGTTATTTAAGACAGAGAAAGGTATACTTTCACCAAGTTTCGTCAAAATTAAATTATTTTTGCGGAAATGAGAAATAAAAAACGAAAAATCAGAAAAAACCTGTTTTTCGCATTTTCCCGGAAATTTTCAGGTTATGTTAAAAAGTGACTTCTACAAAAGTTGTAGATTTTTGCATGATCTACAACTTTTGTATTGGATACTTTTTTTTTGACGTCAACTTTCGCCAGAAATTCCAATGAAACAATTTCTCACAACTTTTCAACCTCTCAAATCAACACTCCCCTGCTCACACATTTATTTTTTTTTAGGTTTATTAGATAAATAGATAGATAGATAGATACCTTTATTTGACCATTTGATATACAATAGTACATTTATGGCAAGTCAGAATACACAAAAAAAAAATTATAAGCCCTCTTATCATTTCCACTTATAAAAGTTCAGGTAACAATTTTTTTTCCAAGGGTAATTTGGTTGGACTAAGAGTTCAGTCACTATTTAGCCATGACCCAGTAAAAACGATCATGTCATATTATGTAGCTAGAAACATATGTTCATATAACAAAAAATGATTGAAATTAACCCAACGACCATTTTTCAAAGTTTGTCTTGGAGCTTGGAGAACACCCTGTGTATTTCTTAGAAAAGATTTTTCGTTTGTTGAAAATATCGACCTTATTAAATTTATTCACCATCTATACCAGTTTTATCTTAGTCGTGCATTAACGTCGACGCTATTCCTACTCGTTAAGGTATTCAGAGAAAGAAAANTGGAGCTTGGAGAACACCCTGTGTATTTCTTAGAAAAGATTTTTCGTTTGTTGAAAATATCGACCTTATTAAATTTATTCACCATCTATACCAGTTTTATCTTAGTCGTGCATTAACGTCGACGCTATTCCTACTCGTTAAGGTATTCAGAGAAAGAAAACATCGACTCACGTTATGCTTCCAGAGTACTTTGTACGCCCACGGATTGGTGTCCATTTTGCATTCAAAGTAAACGTCATCCCCCTCCTCGATGTCGTCGGGATTCAGGTTGGAGCCAAGAGACAGGTGGAGAATAGGTACATCTGAAACACAAAAGGTTTCAATCCTCTTTCCGCAGATTATCTCGCATTTTGCCGCGATCACCCCGTGCCATGATTTTATATTACTGTTTACGAATGTATCATTCCCCAAATTGGTCTTTCTCGGGTATTTTTTGCCGACTCGGAATTGGGGTAATCAACTTCCCTCTTTGTAATTACACCCAAGGTGAATAAATAAATAAATTAAAATCTTGATTGGGCGATTTGCAAGAATTTACAATGGGAAGCTACGTGACGGCGTTTGGTTATTAGAAAATGAAAATTTTGATATCGATTTGTTCTTAGTTTTCAACGGGTTGGGTAGGATAAGGAGCAGACAGCGCGTTTCTATATTCCTTGTACAGGGTGTACCAAAGTTCGCGTCACGGGACCATCACGGACAAATGAAAAACGGCAGTAAAAATCTGTTTAGATGGTGTGAATAGGGAGTGGCTAAGGTCCATTTTGCACTTGAAAAATATTTTTTCGAAATTCGGAAAATAAGAAAATTACGTCATTCACTTTTTTCCACGAACATACCCATTTTTATGATAACTAAAATTATCTATTCTTTATGAACATACTTTGTGCAGAAATTTTTTCCCTATCTTTTCTCTTTAAAAAGTTACAATAACAAACATTATACAAACATGTATTCTATTGCATTGGAACTAGTCATGACTTAATCAACATTACTGTGAAAAACAATCGCTGTAACTCTTGTCACAAATTTGTTTGCGTATTATGTATTATGAGTGAAGTCGTATGTTGTAGTATGTGTAGTATGAGTGAATATTACGTTTTTGCGAGAATAGTCAGTCATTTGAACTACTATGTAACGTTACAAGTTTAGATCAAATGACTGAATTCTTCACCCTTCAGCTGAATATTCTGTTGGTATATTCAACTAGTATTGTCAGCCGGTAACTTAACCTTTTTCTTTTTGACATTTTGTTTGAATGAGGATAAAAATCGTTCAGCAAAATGATGGATTCTGATACGGCTGTGGAAGTGGTCAGTTTAAATTTCAACTTTAGAGTCACAGATGTTTTAGTAAACGTAGACGTTGAAACAGCAAATATTTTACTTAATGGTAAGATTAATTTTTTATATGGGACATATTTGCGATCCACTTTGCTTCAGGATTATCCTCCTTTTTTGTGACCTAGGCCAGATAATATTGGTAGAATCATTTGTAATTCAGGTCTTTTTCGTATGAATTACATAAAAAACCGAATATATGATATGATTCTCTAAACTTATAACATACATAAGGAACATCATCATCCTCATTCCACAAAAATATCAAAAAATATAGAGCCATGTCACAATTTCTGTTTTGTAGCCATTGACATAAATGACCAAATTCCATTCTCTTACGATAACGATTATGTCGAATATTCGCATATCTTGCAACATCAGAATCTACATACTTTTCACGCTTTTTAAATTTGCCACTTAAAAATATTCCAAAGAAAGCATTGATATATTCCTTCAGTTTTATTTTAAGCAAATACATATATTATATAGTGTGATAACACCAATTCCCACAACACTAGATTACTGGAAGCAATAAAGGATGACAAATTATGGTTACTGGTTAGAAGTTAGAACCCATATGTCAAAGTCGTCAAAGTACATATGACAGGCTGCAGCACTGAATAGTGAATAGTGAATATATACATTTTCGCGATCTGTTCAGGTTAGACAAGGTTAGAAATAAGATTAAAAGAGATAGAAACAGTAACTACAAGTCAGACGTAGTCACCAATATTCACTCGCGAAAAAAAGCCTTATGTTCTTATTAAAAAAAGTCACACCACGAAGAAAAATAGAACAATACACATAATGGCGGTTAAATATGATAACCAAACATACAAAATACATATTAACCAATTTTAATTGTAACTAATATAACTATAACTAATAACAAAACACAAAACAAATAAAAAATCTTTTGCTTTAAATGCTGCAAACTTCTCGTGGGTGTCTTATATACTTGAATTCTTAATGTTCCCCATAAAAAATAGTCTAACGGCGTTACATCTGGGAACTTTGAAGCCCATTCTACAGGCCCATTAATTCCAATCCACTTAGCTCCGAAAGTATTTTTTAAATAGTCTGTAACTTTTTTAGCTTTATGTGGAGGAGCACCGTCGTGTTGCAACCACATATTCAACATGTTCAAGCAGTGCTGATGGAAGCTCCTCTTGCAAAAACTGTAAATAGTTATTAGCATTCAATATATTTTCATAAAAGTATGGGCCAATTAAATGCATTCCAATAATGCCACACCAAACATTTATTCCATAATGACCTTGATTTTGAATTGGATTAACATAGTGTGGATTGTCAATGGCCCAGTAATGTTCGTTTCCTTTATTTGACTTTCCTTTACTTATAAATTGACTCTGATCGGTCCAAAGAATGTGTTGTAAGAGTATATTATCTATTTCCAAATTAACCATTATTTGAGCTACATAATTAATATTTTTTCAGCATGTATGTCATATAAGTGCTTCAAATTATTTAGCCTAAAGTCATGGCAACCATTGGAGCTCAAAATTCTGTGCACAGACCTTCTGTTAAAATTTAATAGGCCAGTCATTATAGCTTTTTTTCGGGAAAAAAAATACTATTAGAAGTTTCTCTGTAGAATATTGTTCAAAAACGTGTTATAAACAAAATATCAAAAAATCAACTCGAGACTAGTTGGGAAACTTTGTTAAAACAATGGTCAAACTTATGGAAACGTGGTTTTTTGACTCGCGTAAAAAAACTGTTATACATAGAGAAAAAAAGGTTTATACAAAATAGGTAAGTATTAAATAAATCTGTAAAATAAGACAAGTTCGATTAAATTCCGATGATTTGTTTATGCGCAAGAGCTCAAAAATTGTCAAAATTGTCCGCTTTTTTCAATTGGTAATAATTAATGCAATTTTCATCGCAGACACTTATAATTCAGGATTTTTGAGGCTTTTTGCACCCTTAATAAGTGGTAAAAATTTCAGCCCGAAAGCTTCATTGGTTTGGCGTTGGCGGAATTTGTTATCTAAGAAGATGCTATTTTCAATTCATTTTTCCCAAGCTCACAGGCGTTGTAGGGTTTCGATCATTAGTTGTTTTTGTACCTAAATAGTTGTATTGACATATGCATTTACTGATAATTTAATTTTTCAAATTTAATTTGTTTAAAAATGACTGAAAAAATGTTAATATTTATTACATCGTTAAGCGCGCATGCTAAGCCTCGCCTTCCCCACTCGTTCGCTAGACCAAGTAATAGAACGCATCGCCGCTATCTTCTTTTTCGAAATTAAATAGTTGAATTCACCTTAATGTTAATGTAGGACATGAAAATATAGCTCTTAATGTATACTCTCTCCAAATTTCGGCTCTTAATATTAATAATTAAGGTCACTGCGATTAAATAAATAAAAAAAATTATCTCAGCTTCTAATCAACTTACAACAACGATTTTTTTTTAAATTCGAAGAAAACTAAAGTAAAGAGGTTACTATTTTATTTTATAATAATTACCTATCTTAACAATTTAATAAATATTAACATTTTTTCAGTCAATTTTAAACAAATTAAATTTGAAAAACTAAATTCTCAGTAAATGCCTATGTCAATACAACTATTTAGGTACAAAAACAACTAATGATCAAAACCCTACAACGCCTGTGAGCTTGGGAAAAATGAATTGAAAATAGCATCTTCTTAGATAACAAATTCCGCCAACGCCAAACCAATGAAGCTTTCGAGCTGAAATTTTTACCACTTATTAAGGGTGTAAAAAGCCTCAAAAATCCTGAATTACAAGTGTCTGCGATGAAAATTGCATTAATTATTAGCAATTGAAAAAAACGGCAATTTTCGACCATCTTTAAGCTCTTGTGCATAAACAAATTATTAGAATTTAATCGGACTTTTTTCATTTTATAGGCTTATTTAATACCTACCTTTTTTGTATAAATTTTTTTTCGCTATGAATAATAGTTTTTTTACGTGAGTCAAAAAACCACTTTTCCATAAACTTTGACCACTGTTAAAACAAAGTTTCCCAACTAGACTCGAGTTGATTTTTTGAAATTTTATTTATAACAGGTTTCCGAACAATATTCCGCACAGAAACTTCTAATAGTATTTTTTTTCCCGAAACAGGCTATTTCATGTCTATAATGACTGGGCTATAATGCAAAAGTGGCTTGTCGTATAGAATTTCTAGGATTTTCCTCAAAATATCGTAATATCGTTACACACTGATTTTGAAATTCCTTTCCCTTTTCTTGATGAAAATGCATTTTCGTCAGTACGCAAAATTCATACTAATCTGGCAAATATTTTTGGGTCTCATGACATAAGTTAGCGGCTCTCCTGGCATTTTTTGACATTCACCATAAATTTAAATCATGTCAACTTTTTCATTGTTTGTCAACATTTTTTAATTTTTAGCAATCACTTACTAGTTTGTTTATAAGAAGTAGCGATTGGCAGAAACTAATATGTAAACAGACTTGTGACAGCAGTTTCAGCCATTGTTTTCATAGCAATGTTGATTAAATCATGAATAATTCTAATACAATAGGATACATTTTTGTATAATGTTTGTTATTGTAACTTTTTAAGGAGAAGAGATAGAGAAAAAATTGCTGCACAAAAAATGTTCGTAAAAAATTGATAATTCTAGTTATCATAAAAATGGGTATGTTCGTGAAAAAAAAGAGGACGTAATTTTTTTTATTTTCCGAAATTTGAAAAAAATGTTTTTCAAGTGCAAGCATGGGCCCGAACGCGAACTTTGGGACACCCTGTACATACAAATTCTACCGACTTTTGTATACAAAATGAGGTGATTTAACTAAATTTGTCTTTATTCAAAGTAAAATATCTAGGATAATATAAAAAATTTTAATTGTAGTTATCTTTATGCTATTTTTGTAAATTCGGTTACCGTTAAAAAGTGACATCTATACACAATTATTTGAGAAAAAACCTAAGAGACCCACATATCATTTCCGAAGGATTTCGATGCCCTGAACACGATCCTATCATGAAATGTCATGACTTGCCGACTAATTTCGGAGAAAAGTGAAATTTTCCGTTGAAAATTGGCCCAAATATGGGTCAAAACTGATTTTTTCCTAAATTTTGTCAAAATTTATCACTTTCGTAGTACATATTTTGAGGAGTTAGAACTATGGCTTTTGGGTGGATGTTTTATTGGATTTTTTTTTGTATTTATTAGAACGATTATAATTTTGCTTCTATTTTAATCTATTGTTTTTTATTTTGACTAGCTCCATCTTGGGCGATAAATTTATTGTCTTGGTATATGGATAAAAAATTTTGTGACATTCTTCATCTTTCCTATTTTGAATCGTTTGGAAACTACTTATATCTCGAAAGCGAAATGTATTCCTGCAAATAAACTGTTTCGTTTGATGAAGTAATTTTTTACTTGAATATGTAAAATTAATATATTTTTATTTCGTTGAGGTTCCCCTATTATTATTTTTATTTTCGTTAATCTAAATTTCTCAAAAGCAACACAATGCTCTCTTTATATTTATTTTATTTAGAAATAACCTACAGTTTTTCGTTTCAAAATTTTCAGATTTTTTCTGATCTACTTATTAACTGATTCCTAAAACTAATTTACTTTAATTTTCTTCGTGTAATTTTCTTTGAACCACCGCTTAATATTTTTGTGTTTGTTTGAGTCATTTGTTTCTTCTTCTGGGTTTGTTTGGGCCACCTAGTATCTGTTTTCTCTTCAACATGCACAATACTTTACTTGTTTGATTTGTGCCGTGATGCATAACCTGTGTTTTGATAATTTTTTTATAGATGTTATTCCTCTCTAAGCCGGTTTCCTTCTAGATTTCTTTTGTCTTGAACTAGTCGTCTTGTTGGTTATCCAAAGTAACCAATTTTTTGTGGTTTTGGAGATTTCAAATTTTTCATTTGATTTTTCTTGTAAAATAAACTTTTTTTAACAATTTATTTTGTAATTACATCTTTTACTTTAATTTATTAAGTGCATGTGCATATAGTTTTTCATTAGTTTAAACTTTCTGTACCTACTTCAATTTCCAGAATTTGGCTTCCGACATGTCATTTCACTCTTCCTTCATTTTGACCATTATGACTATTTTTACCACGATCTGTACCTATACAATGACGATAGCAGATACAATTCATATTCGACTCATTTTAGAAAAATTTAACAATTTTGAAGATAAAATAAATTAATTAATATCCTGGTTATTTTTACTAATAATTACAGATACAATATTACTGAGTTTAAATTTAAGCACACTAATAATGTCTTGGCAGGTACAAATAGTATATTTTATGAACGAGCTACAGTTTGAATACGTCTCAAACACTATATTACTCCCCTAATTAACATTACAGAAATATATAACCTATTTATTTGCTGATACAACGTTTTTAATCTGTTTTAATTTGACTTTCACTGTACTGTATTCTGGGGAGAAGTTATTATTCCAGGTTGCGTTTGATGAATTATTCCCAAAATTATAATTAAAAAGCACATAAAACAAATAATATTATCATAACTCCTTATTTACATTTTAAGAGAAGGTAAATTGTTCCAGCCGAATAACGGGGACCTAACAATATGAATTTATTTACCTCCATAAAACCCACCCCCTTGTAAGTTATATAATGCGAAGGCTGCAACAGTTCTCAGGAATATTAAATATAAACCACCCTTTGAAGGCTTAGATATGGCATTTGATTTTGTGTTTTTTTATATGATATTGCATATACTGAAAAAAAAAGTATTGAAGACTAAAGTTAAGTTAAGTTAAAGTTCGTTCTAGGGAAATGTTTCTAGAACTGCAAGAATTTTACTGTGCTAAATTTATTTCAACGTTTCGATTCCGGGAAACCATCATCAATTTTGTTCTCTCTTGAATAGAATAATTGTATGCTGTACTAAAGAAGGTTTTTTAACATTTTTTTAACCGTTTGTTTAAAGTGCAATCTAAAAAAAGATATAACGTGACTGGAAAGGCATGTACAGGGTGATTTACAACTTATCCAAAAAAAAATGGGAGTAGATGCGTCATAAAAAATGGAGTCAATATACTTGGTAAAGAATTTTTTTGTAAATTCCTTATACTTTCCGAGAAAAATATTATTTGTTGTGTATTTTTAACCCTTACATCGCTGGGCTACTGTAATCTCTAGCGATATTGGCGTAGTGAGCTGTGCGCAATGCGCTCTCTCTCCACGTGACCCTAGGCGATTTCGAATATTGAAATCAGTATTAACGTTTTTGCGATAGTGTTTACATTAGTTTCTCAAGTGTCAAAAATTGCTTACGTGTATAGCAAATCGAAGTTGATGGATATCGTTTTAATTTATGCTGAAGCAAGACAACATTTGCGTTATGGTGAAGCAAGACATTAGTTCATAGAAATTGGATAAGACGGGCCCAAATGTGTGAGTGGACAAAATTTTGAACAGTTGTAACATCAGGTATGTCAAATTATTTTATTAACTAAAAATAACAATATCGGCAAAACCAGTTGAATTTACTGATATAAAATAGGTGATTACAAAATTGTATTTGTAAGAGCCCCCTTTATATTAAAAAAAAAATTTAGATGTTTTGAATCACCCTGTATATGTTAAAGTAAAACTGACGATGGTTTTTAGAAATCCACAGTGAAATTATTTGCAAAATGTTACTATAATATTGTTTTTACAAGTTATGTATAAAAGTTCTTGAAAAAAAAAAAGTTGCAAAAGATTTTTTTCAATTTATCTTCAAATAGTTCAAATAATTCTGTGAGTTGCATTGAGATCCAAATAGTCTAAATTGTTGACAATTTAATCATTTTTCTGTATCTTATGGTTTCCAAGATGGTGAATATTGTGCCCACCTGGTATATCTATGATGAATAAATGGTAGGTATTTTCCACTCAAGACAAATATCTTTTTTTTTCTTACACTTGACTTACAATTAAATAAATTAATAAAATTTCAAAATATATGTACTTACTACAATAGAACTTCTAAATAACGTCAGAAATAAATAAAAATAGTTCATTACTTTTGTGGTTGGTTTATTAAGTTAAATTTAATAATGAATTGACATTTTTTCTACATAAAAATATAAAAAAGGAGGATTAGTTTCGTGTACATAAAAAATGGATCAAGCAATAAAATCCAAACTTTATTAAAGATTGTCTGCAATATTACATTATTTCTTCATAATAGCCTTCAAACGTTGGTTGTTAATTTTTAATGTGTTTAACGAGTGTTGTTTCTTCAAGTAGTTTCTTATAGGCGTACTCTTAACCAATACCAAACTTTTCTTGAATCAATATCAGTAACATTGATATAATATAAAAATATTAGGAAATTGTTCATGGAGTTGCCTATTATTTGGCGTATGTGACGTCACTACTAAAAGGGTCTATTGCCGAAATGTTTTTCTTCCTGATTTTCAAATTAAGGTGATTCTTAAATTAATGTTTTTTTCTGCATCTTTAAAATAATTTTGATTACAAACTTTCTAGAAGCCATTTTAAAGGTGCTGAAAACCGACCATATTTAGAGATAATAATCTCTATTAAAGACTGAAATTAGAGATTATATAGTATTTTTTTCTTAACACATTTACTGCCTATTAACTATTTATTATGTAGAAAACTGTCTGCTTTTACAAACAAGTCACATAACAACGGTTTATTACATTCTTTAATTGTAAGGCAAGCAAAAACTGTTACTATTATATACAATCAGTTAGATAATATTTTCTAAAAACGACTAATAAACAAATTTTTCGTAAGGCACTGGATTTAAGATCACCCTGTACACGAAAGTGAACCAGCACCGGAAGGAAGTTCTAACTAATCCCGCATTTCTTCCGGTAAATAAGATTAACGAAACTATCGCTCTCCCACATCTCTCTCTAACAAGCGTTCAGATTTTCTTAAGATTTTCAGAGGTGTAGCGAAAAAAGTAATGGGGAGGAAGTCTCGCAATTGTTGAGAGAGCGGGCGAGCTACAAGGAAGGCGGACCAAACAAAGGAGATCCACTCCGAGCATCCTAATAATTAACAACCCGGTAGTTTTTATATCATCGAAAGAACTTACAGAAAACGTTTAATTTCACGGTGGCTTCTTCTACTCCGTTTTGCACCAGGTGATTAGATGCTCTACACGTAAGCGATCGCCCATTGTCTTGCTTCGTCGGTACGAAGGACAGTAGTGAAGTGGTCGAGTTGCCGTCTTCGGAGTCCTGAAAGTTCAATATATCTTTAATCACCTCTGTACGCCCCAAAAAATGTAATAAGTTAGACACTGTTCTTACAAAATATTTGTACAATTTATAGCAACTGAAATTGCTGTTTAGAAATTAAAGTAATAGCAAATATTTAATTAGCAATAACAATGCACAGTTAAAAAACAGAATGTAAATCGATATTTATTTATCAACACAATTTTTAGTTTGTAGAGGGAACACAAAGTTGTGTACAAATAGATGCAGATGTGCAATTTGGCCTACTGATGTCGGACAACAGATATGTTTACTTACTATCGAAATAAATGAAATAGTCCCCTGAGTTTAGAAACCGATATTAAGAAAACGTAGGGGCAAAATAATTTGAAATTTGGACCATATATAGCCTCACTATTACTCTATTGTTTGCTAAAATTTCAGTTAGTTTCGTTATCCCTTTTTTTTAGTTATTAATGAAAATGTTCAAAAAATGACGGTTTTCTGCCTGCAAAATTGATATCTCTCACTTTAAGTCGTCGTAATTTTTTTGTTTATTGATAAAAATATTCAAAATTTTTACTGACGATAAACCGAACTATTGTCTTTAGTACTGTGAAGGTCATTTGTCTCAAAAGCTCTTCTTTTTTTTACTTTTAAGCAGAACAGAAGGGAGTGATATCTCCATAAATATTGCGTTCTTTAAAAAAAGAAAAAACTGACAGTCTGAAAAATTTTGTCAAAATTAGAGTTATAAATATGATATTCTTAAAAACAGTACCTATCGGAATGGTCAATTACGTTCAGGGTCCGATGCAGGGTATACAGTATAGCCTGTTTGATTGTGCACGAAGCACCTTCTGATTATCACATTTTGTCTGCCCTGGCAGACAGGATGATTACGGGGCACTGACTGATTTTGTTAATGAAACCCTTGGCTTGATTTTTCACTCATTTAATGACATAATTTCTCACAAGATGTCTTAACACTACTTTAACCTAAACTCATCTGTATGTGTGTGTGTAGGGCGTATGTGCCCACACCCTCGCTTTCGTCCCACACCTCAAAACAATGAAGAGGGGGGTTGGTCGGAACCTTATGGCGTGTGGCGGAACATAGCCTAAACTATGACGTGTATGTTTTTTTGTGGATTTGTGCATTGAATCTAAAAACATTATAAAAAAAATACTACTGAAAATAAAAAAAAAACAATTTCGGGAAACGGTAGAAGAAGCGACTAAACGCAGAAGTTGTGGAACTTAACAACAAAGGCAGCATTTACCAAATTGTCCATATCAATCCTTTCTTCCTGTATCAACGATATTTGGAAGATATTATAATAAACTTTGACTCTCTACTTAGCAAAATAACTACAACATCAACGATAATCAAAACTAGCCACTTGTCACCCATGACAATTAACATGGGCCATTCCATTTAAAAGAAAAAAATTTTTCAACTCGTAAGATTATTAAATACAGATCTCAGTATTTCCGAGTCTGAATAACGTACATGTTTTGCTCATAGATGACAAGATAGAGTAATTTACGAACTATGAAAACTGCAGGTTTCTAACTCTTTAGTAGCTAGTTTAGTTGCTATGTAGCCACATTTAGAGAGCTGAGGTCAATTTTGCAATATTCAAGATGGCGGATCCAAGACGGCCGACCAAATTTTCAAAAAATAACAGAATCGCAGTAAATTTGGTATACGGGGGTTTTCAGGGTCACTGACTACGGATCCGAGGTCATTTTTGCAAAATTCAAGTTGGCGGATCCAAAATGGCCGACTAAATTTTCAAATAATAACAGAATCGAAGAAAATTTGGTATACGGGGGTTTTCGGAATCGCTGACTATGTATTCGAGGTCAGAATTGCGAAATTCATTTTGTAATATTTTACTTTATAACCTGAATACGCAATTATATGTTAACCTACTTTTTTTCGGCTATATGTTGTTCTTTTTTCTGTAAAAGATCTATTCACGGGTTGAATTTTGAAAATCTGATATCGGATTCGTGATCAGTGACCTCAAAAGCCCCCGTATACCAAATTTGGCGCAAATGTTTTGGTCGGCCACCATCTTGAATTTTGCAAAATTTGGTCGGCCATCTTGGATCCGTCTTAACTATATAAATGAACATTTGAATATAGAAAAAAATTTTTTTTCTAGTTTTCCTAGTATTTTTTCATAAATTTTCTGCTATTTTTGACCTTTTTTTTGAGATTAGGAAATTCCTGTGACGTGATAGCTCAATTCTGACACCGGATTCGTGATCAGGAGGCAAACTACAGATAACATATGTCGCATGAAAAGTATAGACTACTTTTTTTGTGTGGCTGTGTTATCAATGCTAATACAGCGAAAACTTTGTAAAAATAACAAAATCTGTTTTTAATAGTAGATGGATAATATTGGATATCTGACCGTAGTTTTCTATTAAGATCAACTTTTCTCAATAACGATTGTTGATATTGTAAATAATAAAGGTACTTTACTCTTGAGGCAAATTTACATTTTTCGACAAATCTTGTATGTATACTTCTGCAAAAAATTGAAACCTGATTATTTCATTTTGGGTTTTAGGCCATGCAGAACTTTTTATTAAGAATAACTATTTTTCATAAAACCAATAATAAAAAAAGTATCCCATGTGACGCCGACTTAATTGGACACACTGTATATTTGAATACATTTTAACATAATTGTTCTTAATACTTTAACAATTTCACCTCAAACGTCTATTTGTTGTCACTCCAAGATATTTACCAATAGTTCCTTGTTTTTACTCCATCATAATTGATCCTAATATGTCAAAATTTGTAAGTTTCGAAATTTATTGTAAAAAAATTGTAATCATTACTTTTTTAGTTCCCCTGCAACAACCGATTTCAATCTGAATCAAGTTTCCTGTTCATAAAACACTACCATATCTTCTGCAAAACCGATAAATGTGTCTAGTAGTTTTCAGGTTGACAAGATCATTAATGTATATATTAAACAACATAGACCCTAAGACTGTGCCTTGTGGAACACCATATTCCACCGTTACCTCATCACTTTTAACGTTGTACTCAATCACTAAGGTAATTTTTAAAGAAACGTAGTCGGTTTAAATACAAAGGGACAATTGTTAATTCTGCGAAGTGTTCTGCTCTTTCACTTGATATTTTTTTCAACGTCTCAGACTTTATGTCTTATCCTGGTGCTGTATTATTTTTTAAGACTGATATAACTTTTCTACTTCTAAATTAGTCAAAAGCTGATTGAATGTTCCTAGAAACTTTGTAAACTTATTAAAACAGGCAAAATAATATTTACCTACTTTACAAAAAGCAATACCATTAATTTTACTTTTCAGTCATGATAACTTTTCCAAGAATTGTAATCAAACGTTATAAACGAACACATGTTACAAGCAGAATATGACGTGATAGTGATACAACTTCGCCCCTTTCCTGTATGAATTTTTATAACATGACGCCCATACACTTAGAATATCCCAGCCTTTTCAGAATATTCAGAGGAAGAAGTAATCCTATCACATTCCTTCATACCTTAGCAGCGCCGGCAACAACAGGAGGAAGTATATTGTTATATTTATGTCTGAAAGGGTCTCCTCTGTTGTGCCACTTTGAGTCATGGCTCCGTCCTTTATAGGGGCAAGTTTAAAGGGCACGCCGATGACATTAATAATTCCATTACGTGACTCTCACAAAATTTCGTTTGGAAATTATTAAATGTTCTCAAATATATTTGGTGTGCAGAGGGGGTTCGATTCGATGGTGTTTTAGGGGTATCTCAGACTATAACTGTTAAAAAAATACATAGTAGTTCAAGGACTATATTAGTTTTACTCTGTTGTAAACGTATAAATCAATTCAAACACGTTCGAAATTTTTCTCTCTAATCAAATGAAGTCAAACAATATTTTTCAATACCAAAAGTTCAGGTATGCAAATGATATCTAACCCTACAGACAAAAGTTCTAAGTGTTGATATTGCAGGAGACAACTAGACCATAGTCTATACATAAAATATATCAATCCCAAAGTATGAGTATCAGTGAATGCAAATTGCGGGGTAGTGGAGTTAGCCTAAGAGCTGGCGTGATTTTTTTCCCATCATTTGTACCAAAGGATAAGCACATTAATGTTGAAATATGGTTTAAAGTGAACAAATATCGATTCCTATCCGCGATATTATTACAAAATTGTCTAAAGGAACATAATACAAGACATCTCTCATCTCGTTAGTCAAAAAATTGTATTAGCTAACTTTTCTATTTAAACAAATAAGTGAGGAAAACAGATTTTTAACTTTGCACAGGGAAAACCATCAGTTTTAGCGAAAAGTGACTCTCAGACAGCTTGTAGGGAATAAAATTATCTAAAAAATGAGAGTTGTTAAATTAAAATCGGTCAATAAACAAAAAAGTTATTGCAAAAAAACAAGAAAAGTGCCCATTTTTTAAATTGTTTATAACTATCGCATTTATTGTTAAAATTTTATAAAACCTATGACAAGTTGAGGGCTTTTGTCATACTTTAAAAGTGTGCCGAAAGTGGGCGCTGTAGGTGCAATAGTTTTCGCACAATTCAATTTGTTTATAACGGAGGCTCCAAAAGTTATGAACTTTAAGCCTCTGTACAGGCGTTAATTTTCAACCAAACATGATTCTGAAAGCGTCATTGTAATCTTAAAGACGTAATTAAGCGACCTATTAAAAAATATCAACGTTTTTTTGACATTAACATTCTCAAATTGTGCATTAAAAAACCGTGTGTTTTTCGCTTATAAACAATTTGAATAAAATTGTTATTATTTATGCTACCTCACCGAAAATAGATGCAATGGATAGCTGGCAAAAAAATACAAATTTAAAATAACAAGTACCCTCTACGACCAACAGGAGCCAAGATAAGAATTTAAAAAAAAATCGTAGCGTAATTGTTAAGACTTGAATTTTTCGCAAAATAAAGTTTACGACGTAAACTACGATTTCCCGTGAATTGCATT